TATCATTATACATTTGTCAAATCTCATAGAATATGCAACACTAAAAGTGAACTCTAAATGAACTAATAGGCATCAACTCTTCTGATAATGATATGTCAATGCTGGCTCAGTGACTATACAAAGTTTACCACTGATGTAAGATATTGATTGCAGGGGAACCTACCCAGGTGTTGAGGATATAGGAAATAACTATGCTTTACATTCCATATTGTTCTCAACCTAAAATTGTTTTAAAAATACAGCCTACATGTTTTTCTAAAGCCAAAAGTTTAGAACCTAACCATATTAGAACACATAGAATATATTTCATGATTATTTCATAATATTCACATCAAAATACATGGACCCCAGCTGGTATCCCTAAACAATGGACTTTCAGAGGCTGAAAATCATATCATTCTACTGACTTTGGGTTTTCTGGTCTCACATATTGCCTAGTGCATGAATTATTCTCAGTGGATATTAGACAATTAGAGAATCACAACTGTGACATCTTCTTAAACTTAATAAAATTCCTGTGAAAATAGTTTTGCAAATAGAAAAAAATATTATTCATTTATAATTTATTTAGTTTAATTCTTGATGTTATCATGTTTTACTTACATAATCATGTAAGTGAAATAGAGATCCAAACTGCATAGAAAAATTGCAAGATTAAGGGATCCAGTTTCCACATTGACAATTTTTGTTGATCATTTTGTTCAACTTATTCCTTGGAAATACATTTGTCATCACGTAGATTATAGAGAGATTTTAAATTATATATATATGTATATGATATGCTACAGTATAAATATAACAATTAAATGCCTAAACCTTTACATTTTCTTGTAAGAGAGGAAGTGGATGATTTTTTGTATGTGAAGAAACAGTCTCTCTTAATGTAATTACTTGTCCAGAGACATTAATATCAGTGGTAAGATAACATTCAAGCAGTTCTCTTCATTCTCCTCTGCTCTTCTGTTTGCTAAGCAACATGGTCTCACACTTACAGCTAGCGAACTGAAATGCACAGTAATTAAGTGATTCACTCCAGGTCAGAGCAGACAACCATGAGATTGGCATGTGCACTTGAGGGGTCTGACAGGACTGCTTCTCTGTAGGCATCAACTCTTCTGTACATCAATAATCACAGACAAATCCACTTCCATCTTAACTGTGGTGCGATTTCCAAACGGAAAAGAAGCAAGCGACTTCTTTGTAAGAAACATATCTAAAACCCATTAGCAATCTCTGCCAAAAGCTTCTAAAAGCTGTATTTTTCCGCCGTCATTTATCTTTTCCAAAGTAAATGAATAGCAGTAGAAAAAAGTATTTCAAAATTGACGTAGACACCACATTCCTGCCCAAAGAGAAACAATAGGAAATGAAGGATGGCCATTTCCTTTCTCTCAATATAATAACCAATAAGTATCAGTAGGTTAACTTCAATGTTAGAGATACTGTCTAGCATTTATTTACACATTTTTTTTGTTTGTTTGTTTGTTTTTTTTTTTTTTTGTGGTTTTTTTCTCCGGTACCGGGAACCGAACTCATGACCTTGCACT